GTTGACATGGTTGCTCTTTAGCACTCTTAGAGAGGTCCTGACTGCAGATTTTCCCAATACAATTAATCTTTTGATTTCCTGATTGCTGATGCCAAAAGTGTTGGTTGTGTATGTGAGCAAGATGAAATAGTTAACAACTTTAATCTTTTCATCTATCATAATAATACTGCCTACTAACCCAGGAGGGAAGATCTTTGTTTTCCTGATATTGAGATGTAATCCACACTGAAGCCTGCAGTCTTTGATGGTCTTCAACAAATGCTTCAAGTCCTGCTTTGTTCTGGTGAGCAAGGTTGTGTCATATGCATATTGCAGGCTGTTGATGAGTCTTCCTCCAATCCTAATACCACATTCTTCTTCATAAAGTCCAGCCTCTGGATGATATGTTCAGCATATACATTGAAAAGGTATGGAGAAAGGCTATATCCCTGACACATTCCTTTCTTGAGTTTGAACATGCGTTCCCTTGCTCTGTTCCGTTAAGAGCTTCCTAGTCTAGGTATAGGTTTCACATGAGCACAATCAAATGTTCTTGGGTCACTAAGAGCAGAAATCAATTTTATAGCTGTGTGTTTGAGGTTTTTTAAAACAGGTATCAGAGTCCATCAGTGGTTAACACATGCAGTTCCTCATCAAAAGTCTGGAAGCTGGAGTCCACCCGGAGTTTTGTCAGAAAGAAGGCCTGGTGACCTATTTATAAAAACCACTCACTGAAAACCAGAAAGAGCACTATTCTCTCCCGACACATACAGGTCTCCACAAGTCACAATCTACTTGATAACAACTGGAGAAAGTGCACACGCAGGCCCATGCACTGGAACACATCCACACACAACTTGGTTTCCTGTCTCCCCTCAAGACAAAGCACTTCACTCACCCCCCACTTTTTTTCACTGTTGCATCCACAGTGTTCTACAATAAATCTTAGTACCTGGTAGGTACTCATAAATAGTATTTAAATGAATAAAGAAGACAATATAATACACTATATGCAAAATAATGCCTAGCATTCCACTTACAGATGAATAAATACAAGTTCACATTTATTTACAGATCAAATCAAAGGTAAGAATACACAGAGTTAGAATTCCACAATGTATTACATTCCACAAGGATGTCTGAGAAACAAACAGCCCAGCTTGCTCAATACCTCTTCTTCTCTCAAAGACTCACCACAACAAGCTTTTGAGGTTCTCTTACAATAATAAGCATCAAAGGCACTCAGCCCTCAGGAATCTTCTCTCCACAAAGAAATTCAGCTTTATATCTTCAATTGCCTTAGGCACCTGCTGGAATGATCTTAACTTCTACAACTCTCAGCTTCTTTTTCAAGTGATCTTCAGATCATCATATAAATGGACTTGTTTGACTAAATAGTACTTTCACTTTTTCACTATTTTTACTACTTTGTAATTTTAAGTGTGTATAATTTCATACAATTTCAGTTGGTATTCCCTCACCCCTAAAATGCAGACCCTGATGTTAAAGCACGCACGCTTTGAAGGAGACAGACCTCAATCTGAATAAGGCAGCCCACATGTCTTCTACATCCTCCCATTATCAATCCTCTCCAATCACTTAAAAACAAAAACAGGAAGAACTATCTGAAAGGGATATGTGATTAGGCGTTAAATATGTAACAATCTGGAGCGAGGGGTGCACTGCAGGGTGGGCTGGGGACAAAGTGGAAAGGGGGGAGAAAATGTGCAACAATGAATAAATAAAAGGAAAAATAATTGAGCATAAAAAAAAGGAAGACACCTCAGCTCTTAAGCCCATGTTCCTCTTTGAGACTTTAGGTTCCAAGAGCTCCCCAGGGACGCAGAAGCCTGTTTAGAGAAAGGTGATATGCTAGCTCTACACCTAAATCACAGTTCCTCAGGCCTTAAAGAATACATTACTATTTACCCTTAAAAAAGAGCATAAAATCAGGCAGTTACAGAACATGAAAAAACTAACCAGTGCTACTTTCAATGAGCTTTACATAAAGGCATCATTCAATGTCATGGTCAAACTGTGTCACTGACATGGGCCAATACTCCCAATTAGTTCTGGCAGTTGCTAAGTGACATTTTATAAACACATGCTTTGCTTATCCTGCTTAGTATTTTTTTTTAAAAAGCTATTCTGATAAAGTAGCTTGGTGTATTTAAGTAAAACTTGAAGTTCATTTCCTCATTCACTCTTTTCACACTTCAAATGCTCCCGGTCACATGGGGTTATTACTACCATCAGAGGCTATCATACTGTATACCACAGATATAAAATATTTCCACTATCACACAAAGTTCTGCAGGGCATACGGCATATAAACTGTCAAATTATTAACATTCAAAAAACAAAAAAATTCACAAAAACATCCATATTTCCAGCTTCTCTTGAAAAACTTGTCTAGCAACTCTAGGCTAAAGTCTCAATTGTGGGAACTAGGAGATGTGAATACAGTTATTTCTAGTTTTGGGGTAACATTTATTACAGCAACACAAAAGGACCTTCAGAATGTAACTGTGTAATGGATGGAACGGCACTGCTCAAAAATGCATTGAAATTCTTAACCCCCATCACCAGTAGGGAGCTCTGGTGTTCTAGAAATTTCCACTGCCAACCCAAGGGCTGTACCTTTCTGACAGTTCAGATTCACCAGTGGCTCCTTGGTGGACAATCTCTTTCTGTGTAATTTACAGTCTCACACACTCAAGAAAGGTCAGCTGTTGAGTCGGTTCCAATGTGACAGCAGTGAGTGAGTGATAGTTGTGGCTATCTTACCACTTGGGAATGGGTTTTGTTATGTTAATAATACTGATGAAGAGCATGTCTTCAATCAGTCTCCTGGGATATTAAAGAGCAAGCACAGAAGAGAGCTCTGGTGGCCTAGTGGCAAGAAGCTGCACTGCAATCCTAGAGGTATGTGGTTTGAATCTACCAGATGCTCTGCTGGAGGAGGGACAATCACCTCCTGTACCAGTCAGATCCAATTTGATGGTACATACACACACACAAATTTTTTTTTAAAAAAGCAAGCACAGATGAGAAGACAGAGCCGCATGAAAGCTGAGGAACTTAGGAACAAAAGCTGAGAGAGAAAAGGACCTGAATCCTAAGTAAACAGAATCTTCCCCCAGTCAGGTCCTGAACATGGCCAATTAGAGACACCTGTATATGGCATTTCTGTTACAGTACACAGGTTAACTAAGACAGGCTGCTAGCTTTTATGATAGAGAATGGGCTCTGTTATTCACCCTCGTTCCTGCTACTCCTATTATTTTACGTTTGTACTTTACTCACTTCTACTTTTTTTATTTAAATAATTTTTTTTTATTTTATACTGGTTTACTTACAAAGTTTGTATATGTATTTTTGTTTTTCACGTACTTTACTCATTTTTAACACATGCTTCTTGTGTTCGGTCAAGTCAAGACAGACTCTAACCTGACCGTCTAGCAGTTTTCAGAAGCAGTTCGTTGCACAGGAGACTACATCTTTCCCTCATGGAGTAGCTGGTGATTTGACCATGAGCCTTTGGTTTGAAAGAACAATTCCTTATCACTGTGTAGGGAGCTCTGGTGGCCTAGTGGTAAGAAGCTGTGCTTACACCCTGAAAACAAGTGGTTCTAGGCCACCACTGGCTCAGCGGGACAAGGATGGGCAATTTCCTCCCCTGTATTTAACTGCTTCTGAAAAACCACCAGAGGGTCAGCTATGGGTCAGTTCTGATTCTATGGCACACAACAACACAACATGTATTCTGGGAATATTTTAGTTTCTCCAAGATAGAACTATTTCTGGTAAAATAAAATGTCATGTTCTTAGGTGCTGACCCTGTGAACAAAAGGCCTGAACCTGTCTTACCCTGTGCCTTCATCATCTGATACTCTCAAGCCATTGCTACAGTCACTGTGTCAACCCATCTCATTAAGAGTCCTCCTTGCTTTTCATGAACTCTCCATCATTCCAAGCATGATGTCTCTCTCCAAGGAATAGTCTCTCTCAGCAACATACTCAAAGAATAGGAGATGGAGTTTTGTCATCTTAGCCAATATCTATACTTATTTCATGTTTTATGATGATATTTTCCAGAACAATAATAAAAGGCCTCTAGAATTTAATTGCATCGCTCCCATAAATTATTATCTGAGCATCTATTAGGGACTTTGGAATATTTTTATACAAAATATGGTAATTTAAATTAAGAGCATGTAGAATATTATTTCAAAATACAAATTTTATCATTAAAGTATTTTAGTTTAAAAGAGCTCTGTAACACAAATGCTAACTAAGGGCTGGCTGCTAATAGACTGGAAGTTTGAACTCAAACAGTAAGAAGGAAGATTTCATTTCCTAAACATGCTCCTAACAACAACAAATACTATGGTCAAGAAAACTCTGACAAGTAATTCTGCTGTCACTCAGGGTCATTACAACGGTACCTAACAAGTGCCAGATGATGCTGACAGCCAGCATTAACTTCCAGAAATGAAGGGATAATTCTTCACGACTGCCTCTAGCACCTCGCTGAGGCCCCCGACATTGAGAAGAAAAGATAAGTCACTGCAGCTGTGTTTTATCTGAATCACAAAAATCACAAAAGAAGTGTTGTTTTAATCTACTCAATTTCATGGTAACTTGCTGTATAGTCTTAGCAACTGAACTGATGCTTTCAAATTAACACAAGTGACTGTCTTACACAAAGATATTAAATAACTATTTAGGTACCAGGGAGGCACTCGCTCCTTATAGTAACCAATCATTTAAGGTCAAAAGAGTACAATCTGCCCAAAGATAAAGCCCAAAAGGCAGGAAAGGGCGGCAGAGATGGATAAATGGAAAGGAGAATCACAAGGATAAAGTGGGAAGGGTGTGTGAGAACTGCAATTAAGGCTATCAAAAAGATGTGTATGAATGGAAAACCTATTTACTTTGCAAACTTATACTCCAATCACAGTAAACAAAAAGTATTTGTGTAATGAAACAAATACAAACAAAATACTGAGCCAGCTTACCATTCAGGAGGCACCATGCTTCCATCCACATCCCAGAATGTGTTTTTGCCATTCATTTCGGTAGTATACATAACCCAACGGTGACGACCTATGTTGAAAATAGCATTTAGGAAAATGTGAGGAATAAAGGCAACCTTTGATAAAAATCAAAATTTCAGGCCTTCAAAAAAGAGAAATCTTTTTTTATTAAGAAAAGACATCTGTGTGCTTTTACACGAGAGAAAGATGAGAGGACTGAATGAGTGAGTGAAGACAAGCTAAGGAGTGTGCTGCCTAGACACACAGAGCACCTCAGCAGGACTGAAGCAACTCACTGCTATGTACAGGGCTGGAGCCTTGCCCCTAGTAGTGACCCTGTCCTTCACACCTAGCCTTTAACCAAAGCAGCAGCAGGAAAGGGTAATATATTCCCAGCAGTATGTTTTCGGGGGGAAAAAGTGCTCCTCTTGAAAGATGGGTAAAAGAAATGTATTCCCAGCAATCAAACCAGAATGATATGTTTTTAGAAAAATATTTTTAAATGATCACTTCAGATCCTTTCGGAAATTAGTAAATTATATATAATAAGCAGACATTTCAAAATGACAGATAAATAGGATAGCTCACATCATCAAAATAGCTTGCTGAAATTCCTTACCTAACAAATTTCTATGGGATATTTTGGAGAAAACCACTATTTTCAAAATAAACTGTGTCTATCAGGGGGTGGGGGAGCAGCCAGAATTCCAAATAATTAATCTGTCCTTAAAACAGCAGAGACCTGGATCCCAACTGACATTTCATCACTTATTACAGGAGATTAGGCAAATTTTACGAGCTTCAGGTTATTTTCCTATTAGACAATTATACCCATGTCTAGGAGATGCTATGAAAACTATTATTCAATCCAGCATTTGGCATATAAATGCACAATAAAAGATAGTTCCTTCTTTTTAACTCACCAAACGCTAATTCTCCAAATAGAAAACACAAAATTAATGTCTGCAATACATTTTAAACTTTTAAGCAAAAAGTGTGATCTACATTTACTTTAAAAGATTTTCTAGGTAAATACATAACAAATATCAACATCATCAAGGAGAATTCAATTTTTTTTTAAGGAGATTTCAACCTTGAGAATAAATAACTGATTATCTCCTCCAAAAGGCCTGGGAAATGAGGACACATGGAGGAGAGCTGGAAAAACCTTTTAGAATTAGGCCACAATATCAGAGCTGGGCCTACATATTTTCTTGCAATACGCACAATTTCAAAATGTGCAAACTCATTAATTCTACTCCTGGAAACTTACTCTTAGACACTGTGAACCAAATATTGTGGGTATAGTTACAAGCAAATTCACTGAAGGATTATTTCTAATATTAAAAAGCTAAATAATGGTTCATCGACACAGTGTGTGGCTACTAAAAAGTAATTGATGGCCTGTCAGTCACACTATCAATTACTTATGTGCAAGTTCTAACAGAGGCTAAAGAAATTAAAACAAGTCCACGAGAATCAAATATGATCTTGAATCTATTCCATCTGAATTTCAAAATCATTTTAAGAATAGGTTTAAAAATCTGAATAACAATAATCAAAGGCAAGATGAGATAGATGCTATCAAGGATATCATGCATGAAGAGGGCAAAAAGTCATTACAAAGATAAAGGAGAAAGGAAAAAATGAAATGGATGTCAGAATTATTGTTTGTTGTTATGTGCCATCGAGTCGCTTGAGACTCATAGCGACCATATGTACAACAGCCCTAAACTCTGCTCTGTCCTGTGCCAATCGCACTGCCTTTGACACACCCATCC